TTTATTGTTAAAGTATCTAAAACAAAAAAATTTATATCTGATTATAAAAACCTATTGCAATATACTTTAACAAAATTGTAAAATAAATAGAGATAACTAGTCTTAAGTATTGATATATCTTTAAAATTATAAAAATTGTTATATATTAAACAAGTTTGTCTTATTAATCTCAATTTTTTTAAAAAATATTTAACTATATGATATTCAATTAAAGATTTATTTGAGCCAATATTTTTGGAAAATCTAAATACTAATAACAAAATAAACAAAAATAAAAGAATAATAGTAATTATAACTCTATTAATAATGATACTAATAATAAAATATTTAAAAAAATAAATTTAAATAAACAAATAAATATAATAAATTTGCAAATAAATTATATATATTACAATAAATAACTAGAAAATATATGTTTCTATAATTATCTTGTAATAATTTATAAAACAAAAGTAAATAATAGAAAATTAGATAAACTTAATAGACAGAAAATTATAAAGAATATACAACTAGAGTAAATCAATTCTTATTTTAGATATAGAAAAAATATAATAAAATTTGTAATTATAATATAATATATCTGTATTATATAATATATATACAAGTCTATTAGTTATTTAAAGATAAAAGAGTATCAATATTGTATAGAAAGATATACTATATAAAAATAATTTAAAAAATACAGAATATTATAGACTTTGTATTTTTTAGGGTATAGCTATTTATACCACAATTTTTGCTATTTGCACCATTAGTTTGACCAGAATTAGTTAGAGTTAAAGTATAATTTTAGTCAAATTAATGGTGCAAATAGCAAAAATCATAGTACAAATAGTAATTTCCTTTTTTATTATTTAAATTATAGGCTAATACAAGTGATTTAATAACTAGATATAGTTTATAATAAAAATTATATAATACTTTTTTGTAAAATTCAAGTTTATTAATTAGGTTATAGTTTATAATTGATAATATTAAACTTTTATACCAATAGAGCAAAAAGACTAATTTAGACTATTAATTGTATCAAATAGCTTGTAAAAATCTAATAATTATAAAAATTTAGTAAATAAAAGATATATAATAGATTATAATAATATTAGTACAGATATTCTTATTAATATCAAATTTATTAATATCAATTTAAATTACAAAATAAATTTTTATAAATTTTTATATATTAAAATTTTCTTATATATATTAATTTTAATATAATTTTTTATTAATATTACTATTAATATAATTTAAAACAAATTCAAATAAATTAATATTAATGAGAATCAAACAACTTTTTCTAATGATCCTCTGGCCAACACAACAAAAAACCAAACTACAGAAAAATGCTATAAGAAGGTCCAAGATTTATACTATCTACAGTCTTATCTTTGAGTAAGCAGTTGTTAACAAAGTCTATAAATATGAAATACCAAGGAGTAGGTATAACTTGGGTGGTTTTTCTTGAAGTTAAGCTTTCTGTATTTGGTAGACTCTTTAAGATATTTGGTATCTAAACCAGAAAGAATAAATTCTGAAAACTGAACTTACCTCTGAATAGGTTGTTATTAATGAATCTTGAAAGATAAAAATACTAAGAAATAGATGTAACTTGAGTGGTTTTTTTTTGTTGTCAAGTTTTTCTTCTAACAGACTTTCCAGAATATTCAGCATCCAAACTAAAAAGTTTATTTTAGAAGCAAGTAGTAGTTAGGCCCTCATTGAGATAGTATACTCTTTAAGACATAACTATATAACTGTAAAATATACAGAAGAACCTTATATATTTTTGTTGGCCTCCACTTTTTTTCAAGAAAATTTTGTCAAAAAGTAGATATCTCAGCTTACCATCTCCAAAAAATTAACATGTAATTTTCTAAAACAGTCAGTATTGTTTAATTATTTATATATGTAAATAGGACTTCTAAAATAAGATAACAAGCAGATATTTGAAATAAGCAACCAAATATAGACCATAAGACAGCACAAATAGGTTATGTGTCTCAAAACCAAAAAAACTATTAAACAATACTTCAAGACTTTCCTGTTCAGATTTTGGGCTACTCTGTTTAGATTAACTATAGTATCTAGTTTAGCCAACTTTTTTAACTTTTTTTACTCTATACATATATTATTAGAATAATTTAGATACAAAGCTTCTTTATATTGTAATATGTAATTTTTTAAAGTCTGATACAGGTCTATAATTGTAACTTATTAAATTTCTTTTTTTTTTTATTCTTCTTTCATTTTTGTTTTTATTTTTTTTAGTATTAGTTTCTGTTCTTTTTTTTTTTTCTTTTTAGGATTAGTATTAGTAGATTTTTTTTTGTTTTTTTTCACTTTACTATAAAAAGATGTTATCAGATTGGTAGTATCCTATTGTAGGGTAGTAGTCTGATATGAGTTTCTAGAGTTAATCTAAATTATTAAACTTAAGTTATCGACATCTTTTAGTAGAAGAGGTTTAGTGCAGCTAGTCACTTATAAGTACTTTTAAAGTAACTACAGGATGTCAAATCTAGATATTAAACTTAATATTATATAATCTTATTGTATAATAATCTTAATAAAGGATCACTAGCAAGATAGCCAAAGTAAAAAATATATATATATATTAATAAAAATAATCTGTAATACCAAAATACTGAATAACTAGAATGATTTTAATATAAATAGTTTAATATTATTAGATCATTATTAAATTATATATTTTAAGTTATAAAATACAAATTTATTAATGATACTATACTTTATTTATATTTAAAAAAAATTTTTAATAAACAATCTATCTATTATCTGAAGAAGATTTGCAAATTTTAGAAGTAAATTTTATCATTAAGTTAAATATAGAGAAATAACTTCTAAAACTTTATTTATATTAAGTAAATTACTCTTAAACTTATAATAAAAGTTGTAGAGCTCATCAAGATATATTAATAATAGTAAAACTATTAAAATTGGTTTAGTAGTTCTTAAAAAATCTTCAAAAAATATTTTACTATTATATAAAATTTCTTTAAAAAATATTAATTTTTTAAAGAAATTTTATATGTTAATAAAATATTTTTAAGATTTTTCAAGAACTACTAAGCCAATTTTAATATTTTTACTATTATTAGATATGTTTTAATAAACTCTACAATTTTATTATAAGCACAAAAGTAATTTACTTAATATAAAAAGGTTTTAAATATAATCTCTATATATTTATTATTTGAAGATATTAAATATAATTTATATATGAAATATAATATTAATAACCCATAGTGATGATCACTATAGGGTATCTGATCCGAAATACATATCTATCATATAATATCAATGTGAGTACTTATCGTATAACTTTACATATTTGATGATGTGTAGTAACACTGTGATTTTAACTTTCTTACTTTACTAACCTAAATACATAGTGATTAGGTCTTGCTTTTTTTTGTTACTGTGCTTTATTTTCTTTTTTTATTACTGTACTTTTTTTTGTTATTATTATTCACATTTTTTTTACAGTACTTTCTTTTATTAATGTGTTCTATACATATCCACATTATTAGCGACAACTTATAAAAAACTGAATTCTTTGTCATTAAGCTTGTTCTTACCTTTTTACAGTGCATTTTTTTTTTACTGTTTTATTATATTTCTTGTTGCAGTTATAGAGACAGTTTGTAAAGAAATTATAGAAGGTGAGTTTATTATACTTTTTTTTTATGAATGCTATTTAGAATACATTCTGGAATGCTTATTCGCTTGGTTACTTTTAAGTATTTCTAATATTTTTAGTCTAGTTTCTTTAGAGTTCACAAGTAGTGTTCTAGTAGATTTCGAAACTACAAATAATATAGATGAAGAGTTAGCTATTGAATCAGATAAAACAACCGAGTTACTTGTAGAAATAGAATCAAGTGATGAACAGGGTCTTCAACTTTCAGCAGGAGATTCATTTTCATCATGGGATTTAACTGAAGTGCATCTTAATAATTATGCTAAAGCTGTAGGATTCTCTTTATATCGAAACTGAGTAGTGACTGATCATAATAGAGAAGTTTGAAGACATATATTTGAATGCTCATATGCTGGAGAATTTGTTAGCAATCAAGTTATTGATTTTTCTAAGCAGCGTAATCGCGATTCAGAAAAAGTTTTATGTTCCTAGTATATTAATCTATTCAAACCAAAATTATCACCGAATGTAGTTATTACAAGTATAGTAAAGAAGCATAACCATCCGTTACAACCAGATATTACTTTATTTGCTCCAAAATATAGAAAACTTTCTCCTAAAATCCTGCAAACAATAGAATTTTATGTTACAAAAGGCAACATGGATCTAAACAAATTCTATCTCTTTTAACTGCCCAGTTCTCTAATCATACTATTCATAAACATGATCTTTATAATACTGTTTAAAAGGTTAGAAAACCAATAAATCAGCACCATAGGGAAGCACAACAATTCATTAAATATTTAATGGAGTTAAAAAATCAGGACTCTGGTTGGATTGTCAATATTCAAATAGACCTATATGATAGTTGGTTGTTGAAACTATATCACCATTGCAACAACAATACTTGATTCACTATATTAATATTGTTCAAACTAATAATACGTGCCAAACAAATTTGTTTAACATGTATCTTACGCTCTTAGTGGTCATTAATAATAATACAAGAACTCGGTTGGTGGCTCAATCATTATCTGATAATGAAACTACTGAGTCATATGAATAGTTTTTTGAATGTCTTATGAATGCAACATATAATATATCTCTAGCTGCTTTATTTTCTGATGCTGAACCTGCTTTAATTAGTGCTGTTGCTTTAAAATTACCTATAACACATCATTTTTTATGTGTTTTTCATATTCAGGAGAATATCCATAAAAATTTACAAAATAAACTTGGCAAAAATTTTGATGAGTTTTATAAGGAATTTTTATATGCATGAAATAGTACATTTGAAGAAGATTTTGATAGAAGATGGTTACGTCTATTAAATAAATATCCTCAAACCCAAGATTATTTCAATAGGGCATTACAGGGTTGTTTAAAATCGTGGGCTCATTGTTATCAATTAAAAGTTTTTACAACAGGAGTTCAAAGCACCCAACATGCCGAATTAATGAACAAACTTGTCAAAGAAGATATAAAAAGCACCTCCTCTCTGTATAATCTTTATAAATGTATACAAAATCTTCTGGATAATAAAGCCAAGTGGTCGCGGCATAATAATTACTTAAATTCTCTTCCTACTAATCAAGCATCATCAATCATTAATTCAATATTTCCAAAAGTTTTGAAAATATTAAAATCATATTTGATGCTTTATATATTGACTATATAGCAAAATCAAATTATTAGATCTCTTTTGTATCATGCACAACTATAGCAAAGAAAAATCTTCAAAGATTACAGGTTTAATAATCCTTTTCATGTTTAATTATTTATATACACAAGCCAAAATTAAATAATTCGATAGTCAAATTTTTTAATTTTGACTCATGATAATTTATATCTTATTTTTATTTTTAGGTAAACCTTCAATTAGATTATAACAATAGTTTTTTGAAGAATCAACTTGATAGGCCCCAAATATCCCTTATAGCTCTCATAAAGGATATTGATCTAAACAATATAGTTGAAATTTGGAAGCTGATTGGATTGTTAATGGCCTACAAACACTATATTGTATTGTTGAGTGATAATGTACTTGTATGTTTATCATAAATCGTAATATTGTATACGCTTATTTTTTTTAAATAATGATGAATACTCAAATAACAAAGTTTCATATTGGTTTAGTAGTGAGGTATTGTTATAAAGATGATCTGTAAGATAAAGAGTTGGATGTTTTACAACAGCAGAGTATTGAAATTTCAACAACATTACAACAAAATATTTCATGTATGATTATCCCAGACCTTCATATTATTAAACAAATCTGAGATAATGATACGTTTAATGCAAAAAATCAACATATAGTCAACAAAAAAGTTAAATATGCTCATAGATTTGGCAAAATGAAGAAGGCTCTTAATACCACTTTGGATCTTGGATGTGAAGAAGAGCTTATTAATATGATTACTCATTTTATTGATGAGAAAATATTTATCTATAAAAATTATAATGAAGGTGCTCAATCTAATCAATCTGAACAAATAACTGTAATGGATCCCTTTGTTGTAAAACATTGTAGATAGCCTCTAGTAAAAGATTAAAAAGTTCTTCTGAAGCTAAAGGTTATAAAGAGTTGAGACATAGTAATAATGCAAGATCCTAATTTAAAGATACTACTCTCAAACATTGATTTGAATAATAATCATGTTATGGATATATTCAATAATGGTAATACAGAAGAAAATAAGAGAAAATATATCTGCAATATATGTGGTGGGACAGGACATAATGCATATACATTTAAATAGCAACAATTGAAATAGTCGTAGTGTACTTTGAATTGCTATATATGATTTGAACTAGCACTAATTAAAAGAAATATGTATGTATAGGGATAATTCATAGTGTGCTTATAATTCTGATGCATTGTTCAATTAGCATTTTGCAGTTATAAATCTTATTATGGTATTAAAGTTAGTAATTTCCTTATATATAAATCTTGTATAATTTTCATTATATAGCTTTTCAGATAATAGACAAATTATCTATTAATAACAAAAAATAACTAGATCTTCAAAATAAAATTAATACTCTAAATAACAATAATAATTAAAGTAACCAAATATAACTTTCTTGTAAGAATAATAATTATTTAGTTAAACAATAGCAAAAAATTAAAGTATTAAAAAAAATAAATAAATAATAATATAAATCTTAAAAATATTATATTTTAGAATATTTTATTTATTTATTAAATATTTTTAATATTGTTTTAATAATATTTATTTTTGATTTATAATTTAAGGTTTTTAATATATATCAAATCAATTAGCAAATATTAAAAATTATTTGAATAATCTTATATTAAAATAAAAACAGTTTAGATTTGGGTTCTATAGCTTACTAGTTAAGCTTTCAAACTTCTATAGTCAAAGTTCACAATTTAAGTTAGACTAAAAGCAAAAAATACTTAACAACCAAAAAATAAATTATTATTGAAAAGCAGAGACCCTATAGAAAGTCTACATATATTATAAATTTAGAAAAAAAAATTTTAGAAAAAAATCTAATTATAGAGTATAGATACTATATGTGATAGTAGCATTACAAAAGATTTAATTAGCTATATAAATAAGTTCTTATATAAAAAGTATAAGCAGTACTAATATCCTGTAGTCAACTTGTAAAGTACTTGCTTAAAAGAGTAGTTTGATATCTAATTAAAATAATAAGTGAAGCAGTGAATACAAGAATGGTCTGTAAAAAAGAATTGGCTTTACCAAAATTGAAAGCATCTCTATTGATTAAAAAAAGAACTACCCAAGTATAGAAGTTAGTAGACAACTTGGATATATTTAAAATATAATAAATAACAGAAAGATTATACACAATAGAAGTAGTAATATAAAATATAGTATAGAAATACCAATATTAATAAGTACCAAAAAGGTTATATCTTTAATTTGAAATAACTATGTTATGAAAAACTTGGTTAGAAGTTTTGATATCTACTCTTGCAATATACTAATTTGTGAAGTATTTATTATCAAGATCTGTATATATATAATCAATATTATATAAAACTTTAATACCAATATTGAAATAAATATAAGATTATACTTGCAAGATATCTTTTAATAAAATCTATAACTAATTCTATATCAAGTACCAAATTTGAAGTATCTTGTTGTTAGTATAAGAAATGTGATGAATATATAAATTAGAAAATAGATTAATAGTAGTTAATATACAACCTAGATTAAATATAGATAAGCTCTAGTAGGTTTAAACTAAAAATAAAAATTATTCTAATACTTGTAGTTTAAAATTAATTGTAAATACTATAATACTATATATATTGTTATTGCTCTATTTTTATATTACTAAACTCAAGATAGAGTTTAGCAAAAAAGAGCAATAACTAGCAGTTTGAGTTTGAAGAACTAAACAAAAAATAATATTTAAAAGGTAAGAGTTTAAATACCAAAAAATAATCAAATTGGAGTATAACTTTATTAGATTCAAGAGAGTTCAAACTTAGTTTAAGCACTATAGTGAATACTATTAAACTCTGAAAATTCAAACTTTATATACTCTAAAAGTATTAAGAAACAACAAGAAAATAACAAGAAAAAAATAAAAACTCAAAAGAAATAAAAATTTCCAAGAAGACAATAGTATTTTATTATTAGCAATCAAATTACAAGAATTTATTCAAAGTTATTCTTAAGAAAGGAACTATTTTTAATATTTTAGAACTATGTAGATATTAATTTAACATTTATCTATCATATAATGCATATAGAGTTACATAATACATTTAATTTAAATTAAATTATACTAATTAGTAAGTTCTAGAATATTTATCAAAAATTGATAACTACTAAAAATTTTACTATGATAATTGATCTAACTTATGAAAACAAAAATATTTTATAATCTAAAATAGAAGAGTTTATTAATATACAATAACTAGTTTTTGCATTAGTTTTTGAGATATTAGCTTCTGAACATAAATATTTCCTATACTTACTTATTAATTGCTAATAAAATATATATAATATAGACAAAAATAAATGATAATAATAAAATATAATGATAATATAATATAATAATAATAATATAAAAATATATAAAGATATATAAAAAATAAAAGAAAATAGAAAATATTAAAAAAAAAAAAAACTCTTTCTGTCTATCACTTATACACAAAATTTCGCCCAAAAAGTTTTTACGTTTTTCTTAATTTACGAAAAATTTTACTAAGTTAATAACCTTTTGATCCTTAAACAAACTTGTTCAGCTACTAATTTTACATATATTCATAAAGTTTCAAGTCTCTATCTATCGTTAGTCCCAAGATATTCGACTTTCAAAGTCAGATAGACAAAAGTCTGTTCCCTTAA